GCACTTCAACATCTTTAAATCCTAGGGAAATCATTCAACATGCATATGTAAGTTAAAAATAAAAACAGCCAACATTTATTTACTAACATGCAGAGGCTCTCAACTCAGCAACCCATATGCATCTTTCGTGTAATCCTCACGTTATTGCAGAGGCAGGAGTTATCATTATAGATGATGAGAAACAAGAGTCGACAGGTTTAAATAATTTATGTAAAGTCAAATGAATAAGTAGTCCAACTGCAACTTGTCTAACTCTGAGATACATGCTCTTAACCTCTGCATCCTCAATGGGGATGTTGACCTGAGTTTCTAGAATGATGAAAAATTGCAGTCAGCCTTTGTATCCAAGAATAGGAGGCTGATTAAAAAGTTGCATCTAGGGGCGCCTGGGTGGCTCAGTCGGTTGAGTGTCCGACTTTGGTTCAGGTCATGATCTCACAGTTCATGAGTTCGAGCCCCGCATTGGGCTCTGTGCTGAGAGTTCAGAACCTGGAGCCTGCTTTGGATTCTGTGTCTCCCTCTCTCTCTGTTCCTCCCCTGCTCACATGATGTCTCTTCTCTCTCTCTCTCTCTCTCTCTCTCTCTCAAAAATAAAGATTTAAAAAAAAAAAAGGTGCATCTAGAGGTGCCTGGGTGGTTTAGTTGGTTAAGCGTCCAACTCTTGGTTTGGCTCAGGTCATGATCTCACAGTTCGTAGGTTCCAGCCCCACTTTGGGCTCTGTGATGACATTGTGGGACCTGCTTGGGATTTTCTTTCTCTTTCTCTCTATCCCTCCCCTGTCGTCACTCACTCACTCCATCTCTCTCAAAATAAATCAACACACTGAAAAAAAAGTTGGATCTACACAATACATGCTACCCCCTCCCCTCAGAAATCATACTCTAGAAGAACTTGAATAACATCGGAAAAGAGACTGTAGTGTTACATGGAAAAAGCCTATTAAAAAGCAATATACATGCACAGTGTGATTCCAACTTTATCAACATTTTGTATTATAGAATATATTTTAAAGGTATGATAAAATGGTCAATGAAGTTCTGATCTGCAAGATTTTTATTTTCTTCGTTCTACTTTTTGTATCTCTCCAAATTTGCTATAATCACCACTCAATTTTTAATGAGAAAAAATTATTTAAAATTAATACAGAAACATACAGGAAGAGAAACTAGACATGTGATCAACAAGCACAGAGCTGATTTGTATTTAAAAATGTTGAGCTAAAATTTGGAAAAATTTGTCTTAACATTCAGGGGAGAGGGGAAAACAACAGTCCACACATGGAAGAGACTATTTCTAGGACCTATGAGTATCCCTTAGACCTTTTCACTCTTCACAGACTAAGGACCCCCACTGCTGGGAGAACGTGATCAAGAGTAGCTCTGGTAGGACACTAGCACCGGGCTATACCACACGTACTACAAGAAATTCCAACCAGCTCTCTTAAGGAATCCTCATCAAGAGAAATAAAAAGTTCTCAAAGCACTGGCTCTTAAGATCCCTCTTCCAACCTCAAGCCCCTCAGTGTACCAGGAGTACATAAACTCAAAGTGATCAAAACAATTGTTTTTCCTTATTTCTAATCCATGCTTTCAATAATAAAAACTCACTGCTGCACTTGTGAGAGACCTTAAAAATACTCCATATCTTACACATGGCCTGGCATCCAATCAATACCGAGGAAAGCAGTAGTAAAATGAGTGGTTTGCACTCTGCCCCGCCATCTCACGGAGAGGTTTTGCAGTGTAGGAGCCTTATTTATTTCACACTCTTGGCTAATCCAGCTTAGTACCCGTACCAAGAATGGATGACGAGGATAGCATGTTCACAAAACGGAAGGCAGACAGGGCTCTGCCTTTAGGTCTGGAGTCTCCCTGGTCTAAAAGGTGGTTCCTCACTTCCAAGATCCAAACTGGTCACTTTCACTGGTACTGAGAACCACTGACACCATTCTCCGCTTGTGATGAGATCTTGTATTAGGGTCATGTCTCAGCTCTGGTTGAGCCTCAGTTTTTTTTTTTTGTTTTTTTTTTTTTTAATTTTTTTTTTCAACGTTTATTTATTTTGGGGACAGAGAGAGAGCATGAACGGGGGAGGGGCAGAGAGAGAGGGAGACACAGAATCGGAAACAGGCTCCAGGCTCTGAGCCATCAGCCCAGAGCCCGACGCGGGGCTCGAACTCACGGACCGCGAGATCATGACCTGGCTGAAGTCGGACGCTTAACCGACTGCGCCACCCAGGCGCCCCGAGCCTCAGTTTGAATTCTACTCTATGTCTAATGTGCTCCTGGCAGGGGCAGCTGGCCTTGTGACTTTCAGCTGCTGGTTATTATTTTTTCATGACATTTCTCAGATGCTCATGATTATTTTGTCTGTCCCTAGGAAAAGTGAGGAAGAGAACAGGACAAATATCTTGTTTGAGAGTCACTAAGAGAAGTGAGAAAAACAAGATCCTTTCATACCTCTCTTTGCTTAGCACAAGCGAGCTAAAGTGGTTCTTTTTTCTAACAAACCCATCTAAAATGTCATATTTCTTCTCACTAGTGTCACCTTACGTAATAATCTGTCATCTATGAAATCTCTCTGCCCCATATCCAGTTAGTTACAAAGTCCTGCTGATTCTCTCTCTTCATTTGAGCCTTTTTTTCCTAACTTCAGAGCAGCTACTTGGTTCATCCCTGATAGGCTATGTGAGGCTTAATTATTTCCACTGTTTTCTTCCTCCATGCTTTTCCATGGTCAAATATATGCTCCCCATTGCAGCCAGCAGTCCCCTCTTAAAACTACAATCTGATCTTGTTAAACCTGTAATGGACATACTTTTATTGTTATCTACCCAGCAGCCATTATTTCAGGAAAGCACTCCTGCATCAATCTATTAACTATCCTGCTTGGTCCACGGGCTTCTACTGTCTAACCCCCTCCCTACTCCACCTCTGGGCCACACTCCCCCAACATCACCAGAGAGAGGCACAGGATCCAGGCCATCTGGATCCATCTGCTGTTAAGTCATGTGACTGCCCTGAAATTGAGAAATGAATCATGCCCCATGCTGACCAACCAAAGTCCTCAATGAACTGTCAAGAAAGATACTCTCTTTCAGTGATATAAGATTCAAAAACTGCTGAGACTGGACTACGTGGGACATTCCCACAGACAACATAGCTGATACCAAGACAAGCAGAGATCAGAGATAACGAGAAGCCAGAATAAAGGAATGGAAAAGGCCAACAAAGGTAAAGATGTCACTGGAGCTACCAGATCCTGCTATGCTTCTGCCATCTTGGACCTAGCAACTGTCAAATGATCAATCAGTAATTAAATTTACGGGCAGTCAACCCAGAGAAACAAATTTATATTCACATTTAAGACCTGTGCACAACTGTTTACAGTAGCTTTATTCCTAACTTCTCCACACTGGAAACAACTCAGATGTCCCTCAATAGGTGCATGGTTAAACAAACTGGGTACATTTCTACAGTGGAATACTACTCAGCAATAAAAAAACAACCAAGTATTGATCCAATAACTTGAAATTATCTCAAGGGTATTATGCTGAATAATAATAAAAAAAGCCAATCCCCAAAGATTACATATGAATCCACTGAGATAATCGTGAAATAACAAAATTAAAGAAATGAAAAATAGATTCTCAGGTGCTAGGGGCTAGGGAAAGCAGTGAGGTGTGACAGGTGAGGCAGATGGGTGTGGCCATAAAAGGACATCACAAGGGATTCTTGAGGTGAGGACACTGTTCCACATCTTGACTATGTAATATCCTGGTTGTGATCTCCTACTAGAGGGTAACAAGACGTTACTACTGGGGGACAGTGGTTAAAGGTACACATCTCTCTACTGCATACAAACGTACAATTATCTCAAAATAAAAAGTTTATTAAAAAACTATCCCCACTGCAAATATGAACCAAGAACCAGATTCTCAGTGGCAGGGCACCTCACCAATAATCATAATTTCAAATAAAAGATCTCACTGTACCTAGCAACACAACAGGGTTCTGCCAACAAGAGGCAAGGAGCTCTCTAGAAAAAGAGATAGAGAAGAGTCATTCTAGTCAACATGAGAGAGGAGATTTCCTTACATATGAAAACTATTTTCAGAAACTGGAAAAAACAAAACAAAACAAAACAAAAAAACAAGACAGACAAATACTGGCAAGAGAAGGGTCCCTGCCCAGACAATGAGCAGGGACCCTAAATGATAGTCCATCTCTGCAAGTGCATGGCTGGGCTTCCATGGGGATGAGTAATAGCCACTGATCTGTGAAATCTGATCTGTTTGCCATTTAAATCCATGTGACTCACTGAAGCTGGCTGCATTCACATCTAAAAATAAAGGAAATCTGCAGCCTAAGCAAATTGGCTCATGGGGTTTTGATTCAAACACTACACATTTGAAGATAGTGGTTTTGTATTTTATACCAGCCAGCTGTAAGGGAGGTTTCGCTGTTCAAATGACAAGAGTCTACGTTGAAATCTAGATGCAAAGATGATCCAGGAGTTATCTCCTTATATACATGTTATGTGGCAGTCACGTGACACCTTCTTGGCAACAGGCAACATGAGATCTGAGGTCCTCTGCAGGCTAGAAGGATGCCCTTCCTTGGGCATTGGGTGTGCCCCACTAAATGCCTGCCTCCAAAAAGGACAGGGGGAGTCATGAGCTATTAAAGACACAGTAGGGTGTGGTGGTCACATGAGTGACTGAGCACCACTTGGAATGGCAGTGGCTGAGTCTATAAACAGAGGGTGTGGTACCTTGGACCTGCCATTTTTTTGTTCTGTCCAGTCCCACTAAGTACCTCTTCCAGTAATGCCGACATCCCTAACAACTGGTGAGTGGGGCAGCTGATTTCTGGGCATTCCCTCCCGGACACCCAATTCCTTCCCAAGAGGCTGTTCATACCTACACAACTAGTGACTTTTCAAAGGTGCCCCCTCGACCTCACTGGGACCTGCCTCGCACAGCCACTGTTGCACTCACCCATCAGGACACTCAGTAGCTTCTGGACTCTGGAATTGACCCCCACGATTCGGTAGAGCCCTTGCTCATTGATCCCTGAGGAAAGAAACAGTGATGATTTAATTAGAGGCACGTCAGAACACAAGTCAAGCCAACCCAGCCAGATGCACTTTTTTTCATTTTCTCAGTCCTTCTAAAAGCCGCTCTAATTAAAGTCCCCTGTCCCTCAGCTCTGCTCTTAGCAAAGGAGTGGGATTTGGTGCAGCTGTCTAGGATTTCACGGGTGTGCTGCACACTTCAGCCCTTGTGTTAGTTCAGTTCAGTCAACAGAGGGCAAAGAGACCTTCCTCTTCTCTTGCCAAACACAGCATCTGAAGAGTTTTGAAAGATGCAAAATATATACTTTTAAAGGTTACACTTAGCTGGTTTTTCAATTTAAAAAGCCAAAACTGACATGACAGAAATTTTATACTGTAGAAAAGAATAAAAGCTTTACAATCTATTCTCAAATACAGAATAAGAATACAGAAGTGCGGGTGCATCTTTAACTTTGGACAATGTTCACCAGGACTGAGAAATTAGAAAATCAGATCATTTGCCATGTAAACATCATTTGTGAACAAAAAGGTGAATCACCTTCATTCAACCCAAGTAAATGTGCAACTCAACTAGTAGGGGATTACCTCCAAACACCTAAAGAACCAAAAACTAGCCCATCTGAGTGCTTTGTTCATTTATGTGCAAGGATTAGATCACTACTGTACCATTTACAAAAGGGGACCATTTAAACCAAGTGACTGGAAATGATTTTTCTGTTACCCCTAGGCCCATCATACCTGACACCTCCAACCTAACTGGTCTCCTGCTTCCCATCTTATTCTCCTGAGGTCCATTTTCCAACCAGTAGCCAAATGGACTTCTTAAAGTATGCACCAGTTCAAACCCTCTCTTTCCTTAAGATCTTCCAATGGCCTCCCACTGCATTTAGACCACAAGCAAAACTTACTGCGGCCCACAAGGCCCTGCAGGATTAAGCTGAGGCCCACCTTTGCATCATCAACCATCTTTACTCTGCTGCAGCCACACTGGCCTTCCTCTTTCTCCAACGCATCAAGCCTGTGCCCCCATATCACAGCCTCTGCTCAGCGGCTTCCTGTGGAACATGCTTCTCCCAGATCTCATCATTCAGGTATCCGCTGAACTGCAACCTGTTCAACCTAAGGCATCCCATGACCAACATTAAGCCCAGTCCCCTCCCATTCTTTCTTTGTAGCAAGTAATAATATCTGAAATCATCATTTTTATTTACTTTCTTGTTTGTCTTTCTCCCAACCGCCACAATATAAACTCTATGTACAGTGATTCTGTCTTCTTCACCATTATCTCCCCAGTACCTAGATCTCTACATGATACATGACAGAATGAATAAAACACTGTGTCATACTCCCTCAGGGCCACTAGTTTGGGAGCAAAGCAAAATTTCTTGGAAGAAATTTGGGAAAAGGTTGACTCTCCAATGTCTCTAACAAGGTCTATGTAGAATTAATGAAAAAAAATAAGTGGTCTAGAATGACAGGATTTCATAGCTAAAAGGGGCCTATAAAAGCATGTACATCAGCCTGCACGGCTCAGGGACTAGCCTGGTCTAAAACTAAGGGATGGGCCTCAAGCTACTTAATGGCAGAACCATTATTCAGTAACGTGGCGGCTTAAAGGGCTTGTTCTTTCTCAAGGGTCTCTACTTCTTCTGTCCTTGACCTTTCCTAGAACTGGATACAGCACTGTCTCCCGCTGGACAATGATTAACGAACCCCACAAAGTGTGGGAGGTCTGTTCAACTCTGGTCACCACAAATAATGTGTGTACATACATGCATTCCAGTAGCAAAATAACCACTTCCTTCAAATATTTATCTTAAAATGGCATTTAACTCACATTGTCCTCTTTTCCTTTTTGTGTCAAATGAAAACTTTCTTACAAGTTAAAACACATCATTTCCATTTTAGAGGAGAAGGGGACAAAGAGGCAGAGGTGAGGACACCACACCACTGGTGACCTTGTTCTTCCTCTGTAACTTATTGTGCGTATTTTCTGGTTTTACATCATAAAAAGTTGACCCCCTGAGATACGGGCTTGCATTTATCATACAGGCTCTGCAAAGGGGTTTAAATGATTATGTTTCCCTATTGCTGGTTTGGCTGCTGAAAACTGAGACAAACATGTAGCCTACCTCGGGCAAGTGTGTGAATTTCACAGTGGAGGGGAGGGGATTTTTGTTTTGACCTTAGTTTTGGCTCCATTTTATGCCTCTACCTTTATCAACCCTGTACCTCTTATTACTCCTCATTCTTTTCTTCTAAGATGAAAATTAATATACCTACCGAAAAATTACCTTAGTAATAGATACTTTAAAAATTTAGAAACTGCAGTTAAGGCACGTAGATAAATCAAGGGATGATAGTAAGAACAGCAGAGAGACCACTGACAAGTCAAGGATGCCTGTGCATATACGCAACTCCCCAGCCCCTGCCATCCCCAGAGTGGATTCATGCTGTACAGGCTGTTTTATAGCTTTCGTTTTTCATTTAATATATAATAATGAAAACCTTGCATGTCAATAAATATATCTCTACTGCAGTTACAGTGATTCACAGCTTTTTACCGCATGGATGTACTACTGTTGATTTAACCAATTTTTGAAACATTTGGCCAGTTTCTGATTTTTCCCGTTACCACCACAGTGTAAACGTCTTTATGGCTCAACCTGCCCATGTCCTTATTTCCTCCAGATCAATTCCCAGAAATCTCACCTACTGTTACTTTATATTCTCTGACTGTATTTTACTTATCATCACAAGCTGCCTTAACTCTTCATTAGAAGAGCAGAAATACGCATTTCATAGCAGAAATACGCATTTATAAAATCTCAGCATACATTAAAATAACTACTTTGGAAAGAACACTTTCTGACTGGGTAGGAGGAGAGGTTCCTACAAGTACGGTGTTTTTTTTTTTTTCCCCTCCCCTTCTACTCAGTGCCTCATAGACTTTATAAAGATACTTATATTTCGTAACTAGTCAGAGTTATAGATCCTGCTTTAAAAGATAAAACTTCTTTTAATCAAATAAAAAAGACTGGTGGGTTCTGAGGCTGTGGAATAGTAAGATTCACATCTTTGACAATGGTTCAAATCAAATTCACAGGAAAGACAGTCATCAGCTTTTCTCAGGGGTACAATAGACCAGAGCAGTCAAAGCTCCAAACTGCTGGAACTGAGAAATCGCCCTTGTGGCAACATCTGAGGTGGTGGTGGAGACCATTGGGATGAATCAGTTTCCCTAATCGCAAAGTTCTGTTCTGCTCCTACAGACCCAGGTCAGGTCCATGTGCTACAGACAGGGCCTGACTACAGCACTGCTGCGGGAAACCAGGGGCCTGACTCCTTCTGCCTACCTGCAGAGTCACCAGGGACTAGCTTCCCAAAGCACGGTTAATAACCAGTTGTCCAAAGACCCTGGGGGTACACTAGAGAATTCCAGGTGTCAATGAACTTAGATAAGAAAACCATTACACCTTTACTTTCATGAGCCTATAATTGAAATTAAACATTTCCTTCCATAATAAGACACAAATCACAGCATTAGCAATACCTGAGTCTTGGCCAGAAATCAGGTATTTTCATAACACATTGAGACTGCTATAGCCATCTTGAAATATCATTACAAGTGACCTTCGATCACCATGGGTTTGAAATGCAAAGGTCTACTTACATGTGGACTTTTTTCGATAAATTCAGTATAGTACTATACATATATTTTACAATTTCCTTAACACTTTCTTTTCTCTAGGTTACTCTATTATAGTATTACAGTGTTTAATACATGTAACATAAAAAATACATGTTAACTGATTGTTTATCTTATAGGTAAGGCTTTCCAGTCAACAGAAGGCTGTTAATAGGTGTTTGGGGGAAGTCAAAAGTTATATGCAGATTTTTGACTGTCTGGCAGGGGGTGGGAGGTCAGCACCCCTAACTCCAGCATTATTCAAGGATCAATTGTATTTCTGAATTATGCCAATTATGACACCCACCACTATTACTTGTTATTTAAAGTGGTAAGAAAGAAGTATATGTATTATTAAATCACAAAAATGTTTTTCAATATTTTAACTCAATTCCAGTAACTAGATTCCTTATTATCTTATGTCTTTGACACATGTGCATTGAAAACACTCTTGTATCAGCCAAAGAGGCTGATGACAGCAAATGGGTCGAAGGCCTCTGCTTCAGAGCAACACGACTCGTGGAAACACACCAACAATGGCACTTGGAGAGTTATTGAGTCACTTAAAATCAGGAAACAGGTAGCAGGTCTGACGCCTCACCAGATGCATGACCTTCACCAAGAACAATGCCATGTGATGAACAACTTTACCTCTGGTTTCCACAGCGTGGATGCATTTCCTGATGATGCTGAAGCCAATGCTGTCCAACTGTGCAGCTGGAAGAGGAAGAAAGGGGCAGTCAGGTTGTTGGTCATGCATAAACCATCCTCGGACAAGGCCTGACAGACCCAGAATCAATCAGTCCCATGGTTTGGCCACATACAAGAATGATTAAAAAAAATTTGCTGGCATCCACTGAGAATTTACTGTATACCAGGTACAGTTCTTTTATTTATTTTAGTTTATTTATTTTGAGAGAGAACAAGCAGGGGAAGGACAGAGAGAGGGAGAGAGAGAGGGAGAGAGAGGGAGAGAGGGAGAGAGAGAGAGAGAGAAAGAGAGAATCCCACACTGCCAGTGCAGAGCCCACAGTGGGACTCCAACTCACAAACTACAAGATCATGACCTGCGCCAAAATCAAGAGCCAGACGTTTAACTGACTAAACCACCTAGGCATCCCATGCCAGGTACAGCTCTAAGTGCTTTGTTTATATGAGCTCACTTAATTGTCACAGTCACTCTGCAAGGGTATCCTCTATTTAGCTGAAGAAACTGCAGAATAGAGTGATGAGCAGTTTACGAAAGGAACAAGTAGGCATCCTTTAAACCATTTGTTTTGTTATCATCAGGAGCTGTAGAACTAACTGCTTCCTGGTCTCCTTCAAAAAGTATAAATTCAGTGGCTCAATAAATGTTGGATAAGGACTTTACACAGATTATCTCATTTAATTTTAGCATGTCCTCTAGGCTGATACTATCATTGGCTACATATTACAGATGAAACATCTGAGACTTGCTTCATTTGTACTATGATATTTGCAAAGCTAAAAAGCTAGTAAGTGGGAGACTCACTCCCAAGTCCTTATGACCCAATGCCCTAAATATGACCTAAGCCAAATCCTACGCAGGTGATTAGAAAAAAGGGAAAGTAATCTGGAAGAAAATTAAAACAGCTTACAACAAAGAAGTTACATGAAAAATAGGCATAGGGCAAGAGAGCCATCCTGGGTGTGGTAAGTCAGCAGGTATTCAGAGCTCTCCACCTGCTATAAAGCCCACTAATGTGACTCAGAAAATAAATGACCAACAGCAGCAACCTGTTCCACGGCACAGAACCAATTTCCCAACCTGGCAATGAGCCTGGGAACCTACCAAAATTAATCTCCATGCTTTGATTACCCAGTGAGGAGAGGCTGATGGTAATATTTAAGAACATGTTCACCTTTTGAGCACCTTGGGACATCAGGGCAAGACATTCTACAAACTAACGGTTCACGGTGGAGAAGAGAATGACAGAAAGTAGGAAGGTAAATATTTATAAATAATTTGTCATCATCCCAGGGCAAAAAATAACCTTGTAAAAAATAAGAACTGCACAGAATTTGAGCTCATACTTTGATCTAATCCAAAAAGAACCTTTTCCAAATACTTAAGTTTTTAATTTTAATTCCAATGTAGTTAACATGCAGTGTGATATTACTTTCAGGTGTGCAGTATAGTGATGCGACAATTCCATACATTTCTCCATGTTCAACACGGGCAAGTGCACTCCTTAATCCCCATCACCTATCCCCCCCCCCCACTTCCATCCTGGTAACCATCAGTTCTCAAGAGTTAAGGGTCTGTTCTTTGGTTTTTCTTTCTTTCCTTTCCTTTGTTCATTTTTGTTTGTTTATGTCTTAAATTCCACATGAGTAAAATCATATGGTATCTGTCTTTCTGTGACTTACTTGGCTTAGCACTATACTCTCTAGCTCCATCCATGTCGTTGCAAATGTCAAGATTTCATTCCTTTTTATGGCTGAATAATATCCCATTGTGTATATATGCCACATATTCTTTATCTATTCCTCTACTGATGGGCACTTGGGCCACTGTTATAATCTGGCTACTGTAAATAATGCTTCAACAAACACAGGGGTGCACGTTTCCCTATTGTGAACATGGATCAGTCAACTTAGAGCCAATGAAGATAACAATTGTTAAGAAAATCACTAAGAATTCCTTAAACTAAAAAGAAATGCTATTTTATTACAAATTCTCTTCCCAAAGAAAACAAAATAACTCTTATTCTTACATACACACTTACCACTTAGTGATACTTACTATAACCACATTTGGCCTCTGGGATAGTCAGTAAAGTACCAGAAAAGGAGGAAAACAGTATTTTTCTTCTGGGAGAACACCTGATATACAAACCATTGCTCTTACTCCCTTAAAGCTGTAAGTGCAGCTATAAAACTGTACTAACTCACTCTCATGCTTTTTCTAGTATAAACCGAGTACTACACTGCACGTCATGTAGTACAGAGCTTTCTGACTTGAAGCTGCAAGTCAGATTGAAATCACTCTTCCAAATAAAACTCCATTAACTCACATCATAGATTTTTCCCAAATTTAATAACAAACTATGATACACAAGCCAGATGCCTGTTAGAATCTAGGGCAAGATTCTTGAAGGTAAGAATTCACATACCCATAACTTAACATTCCCCCATTTAAAGCACTGAAATGCATTAGTGTCTAGGATATTTACAGAGTTATGAATCAATCACCACTATCTAATTCCCTCACATTTTCATTATCCCCCACAAAACACTTTATACACATTAGCAGTCATTCTCTACTTCCTGCATTCTATCAGTTCCTAAAAATCACGATCTCTTTTCTGTCTGTATGAATTGGCCCATTCCAGGCATTTCACATAAATGGAAACATAACAGGTGGTGTTTTGTGTCTACCTTCTTTCACTTGGTATAATGTTTTCAAGAGTCACGTATGCTGCAGCAGTTTATCATTTCTTTTCATGACCCAGTAATATTCTGTTGCCTGGGTAAAACCACGTCATTTATCCACTCACTGGTTGTTGTTTCTACTTTCTGGCAATGAACTGCTGCTAGGAACATCTGTGTACAAGCTTTGCTCCTCGTGTACACCTAGAAGTGGAGTAAACTGAATTACGGGTAACTCGCTGCTCAACTTTTTGAGGAACTGCCAAACTGCTTTCCAAAGTGCGGCACCATTTCACATTCCCACCAGCAACGTATGAGGGTTCCTATTTCTCCACATCCTCGCCCATATTTGTTATTGTATTTTTTGTTATAGCTTTTTTTTTTTGTGGGCGTGAAGCGGTATCTCATTGTGGTTTTGATTTGCATGTCCCTAGTGACTAATGATGTTGGGCAGCTTTTCATGTGCAGGGGGAGGATATTCATTCCTTTACACAGTAGTCAGAACAGAGAGCCTACTGGAAACTATGTGTCACAGGGAAGATCATTTTTTGCACTTAACGAGGTTTCCAAAATGCTCATAACTGTGATTCCATAGTCCATTGAAGCCTATCAGTTCTTCTTCTGAGAGGTGATTAACAGGATTTGTGCACAAGGATGACAGTCCAAGAAGTTCAGGGAAGAACCATCATTTTGCACTGTGCTTTGGGGAGCTGCTGATTCCAAGCTTGGATGCTTTCAGAGTAGGTTTGTGGATATGGTCTTATTTCAGACAATGATAAACTCCTATCCTGAACAAAAAGTCCTTTGCTTCTTCTACCCCATAAACATTGAAAAAAAGTTTTGGAAAATTTGAAGAAACCTGGCAGCTGACAATGACAACCTCAGTGATCAAAAGATACCTGCTCATAAAGCTATCAGGACAGCTAGCAGAAGAAATAAGGGCAGGGCTAGAGATAAACTTGCAGGGCTAAAAGAGTCCTTGAACCTGTCCGTGTTTTACTGTGAGAAGCCAAAGTTTTGGGAGTGCCTGGGTGGTTCAGTCAGTTTCGGCTAAGCGTTCGACTTCGGCTCAGGTCATGATCTTACGGTTCATGGGTTCAAGCAACACAGAGGGCTCTGTACTGACAGCTCAGAGCCTGGAGCCTGCTTCAGATTCTGTGTCTCCCTCTCTCTCTGCCATTCTCCTGTTCACACTTTGTCGCTCTCTCAAAAATTAACTAAACATTAAAAAATAAAAAATAAAAAGAAGCTAGATCTAGGCAAATAATAGCTTGAAATAAATCTTACACAGATGTTACACATAAAGGCCTTACACATTACACATGTAACACAGTATTAGTATATATTTAGTGTCTGAGTTTAAAAGTGTAACACTTTTACATATTGCAAAGTCAAACAGAGTTCAAGGTAACTATCTGTTAGCCTTTAAACTGTTCAAGTTGCATATACTGATGACTTATAAGCAGATAATACTGTGTTAAGAAACATAATTCATATCAAACAGCAGTTCCCAATAAGGAACTCACAATATACAGTTTAACAGCCATTGTTCTAAATCTCTAAACTGGAATGGTATAATTGTTACATTGCCTGCTGCCTTGGGACATCCTTGTATCTCCCTGTGTCTCCACAGTAGGTACTTGTGGGCATGCGTGTGTGCGCACACACACACGCACGTCTGACTTCTCATCAACTTGACTTTCCTGCTGATGTCATGATTAGGTTACTAATGATTAACAACTGCTTTATTATTTAACATGTACAGAGTAGTACTAATATAATGGCGATTATAATACATAACTAGAGATCGTAAGTTCGGATCTCTGCCCAGCAGGTACATAATCTAAATTAATTGAGATCTCCTCTGCTGAAAAGCAAGTTCCCACTAAAAGGTTTAGAACATGATCACCCCCAGACAGAGTTTGCTAATGACAAAAAAAAAGTCTGAGCAGCCCGCCAGATGGAAGCGGCTGTCCTTAATCCCCTCAAGCAGGTGATTCAGCTCTTTTACTGAGCCAAGGCTCAGAAAAGGTCAGGGATTTATTTGCAATTTCTGTATCCTTATAATCTCCAAGAATAATCTCTCATTAAATATCTACTAGGCTTGCATTATTCCCTTAATTTGACTTGCGATGAGTTGTTGCAAGACCAGTGGCTCCTAGGCCTGCCATCCAACGTCTTACAGCTATGGCTTTGACTGGCTTTTCTTCCTCCCTCAGCCTCACCTTCAGCTTTGCTCAGGATTGTGCACAAGGCAGCCCCAACAGTTGTCCTAAAATGACTGTCATAGAGCTCACACCCAGTATCCAGGTTAACCTTCCAAG